CCCCAGGACCGGCCACCTCAGCCACCTCACCTGTGGCCACCAGCTCCAGGGTGCCCCCTACGTCCCCCATGGAGACCGCTAACACCTCGCCCGGAGTGACCACAACTACCATCCCTGTGGGCACTGGTTCCACAGTTACCCCGACCTCGCTCTCAGAGACCAGCGCCACCCCTATGAAACCAGCTACCATCGCCACCTCGTCTCAGGCCACTGGCTCCACAGCGCCCCTCTCCTCTTCCCTAAGGACCTTTACCACACCACCCACTGAGACCACCCGGGCCACCTCTCAGGGACACTCCCTCCCCCCCAGTAGTACCCACACGGAGTCCAAGGCCCCGACTTCCACGGGCCCGACCGGTACCTCCAGATCCCGAGAGTCACCCACCGTGGTCTCCCAGAGCACTGTGGGTCGCAGTAGCACAGCCCCGCGCACGGCTCCGGCCACGTCCAGCACTCACACAGGCACGGGGACCGCTGAGTCATCACCTACCCCCGAGGAAACCACCCCGCGTGTCACCACAGCCACCTCAACCTCAAACACGCCTTCCCACGAGGCGCAGACCTCGCCCCTGCCTACCACCGGCCCCAGCCCGGCCTCCACACCCCGAGGGGTGGGGTCCACGACCTGTGAGCCTCGATGCACCTGGACAGACTGGCTGGACCAGAGCTACCCCACGCCCGGCATCTCTGGGGGAGACTTTGAGACGTATGCCAACATCCGGGCGTCCGGAGAGGCCATCTGTGAGAAGCCCCTGGACCTGGAGTGTCGCGCCGAGTCCCAGCCCAACGTCCCCCTGCAGGAGCTGGGACAGGTGGTCGACTGCAACCTGGACTTCGGGCTGGTGTGCTGGAACCGCAAGCAGGTGGGTCGCTTCAAGATGTGCCTCAACTACCACATCCGTGTGTTCTGCTGTGACTACAGCCACTGCCCACACACCACAGCGGTGTCCACCCTGGGCACGAGCACTGCCGAGGTCCTCACGTTGGCTCGAGACCTATTACCACATCGCTGATGCTGGCGGCCAGCTGTGCATGCGGCCAGAGGCCATCGAGTGCGAGGCCGTCCTCTTCCCGGAGGTGCCCTTCAGGCAGCTGGGCCAGGTGGTGCTGTGTGACGTGGACTTCGGCCTCATCTGCAGGAACCACTGGCAGCGGTCGGGCCGCGTCTGCCTCAACTACCACATCCGCGTGTACTGCTGCGACGACTACAGTCACTGCGCCAGCACGGCCGGACCCACCACCACCACGCCGGCCCCCGGGCCCCGCAGCACGCTCCACCCCACCCAGGGCCCGTGGTCCTCAGGAACGCCCGTGCCCTCGACCTCGGCCACCGTGCACACGAGCACCTTCTCCACGGGGACCACAGAGAAGGTGACGGTGCCCAGCTCCTCGACAGGCCCGGCCTCCAGCACCGGCTCGCTCTACACGCCACGGAGCCCCACCCCAGGCACCCCAAGCACGTCTGCCCAGACAGCCTCATCTAGGCCCTCTGCCTCCTCACCCCCAGTCACCGACCACCTTCGCACGTCCCCTGAGACCCCTGGCACCTGGTCTCCAATTGGGACCACCCTCCCTGGGAGCACCTCGCAGACCAGCACCGAAACGTCCACCCGGTCCCCGGCTCCCAGCACGAGCTGCGTGCCCCGCTGCACCTGGACAGACTGGTTCGATGAGGACTACCCCACACCTGGGCCCGATGGCGGGGACTTTGAGACCTACTCGGTCCTTCGCGAGGCCGGCCACGCCTTCTGTGAGCACCCCCAAGACATCCAGTGCCGCTCAGAGAAGGCGCCAGACCAGCCCCTGGGGGCCCTGGGCCAGGTGGTTCAGTGTGACGTGCGCTTCGGGCTGGTGTGCAGGAACCAGGACCAGCCCGGGCCCAAGCAGTACTGTGACAACTACCACGTGCGTCTGCTGTGCTGCGACTACAGCCACTGTGGCTCCTCGACCACGGCCACCCACTCCACGCTCACCGGTTCTTCCTCCACGGAGACAGCCAGAACCAGCACAGGACCGGCCACCTCAGCCACTTCACCTGTGGCCACGAGCTCCAGGGTAACCCCGCGC